AATTCATAATGCTGGCGGCAATCTGATCTTCATCAGCAAGTGCTCCAAGTCCTCCTCACTTTCAGCAAGCAGGCTACCTACAGCCTGGCGAATGAGCAATTCCATGCCCTGGAAGACATAGAGCGGGAAGTAGGTGCCATACTTCAAAATGCAGGTAACGTGATCCTCGAACTGTCCAAGGAAAAAACGAATGAACGACTTCTGCACCGGCAGACGGCAGCCTTCACAGCTTCAGTGCAACACGTGGAGGCCGAGTTGTCTGCTCAGATCCGCTACCGTACCCAGGTGGCCACCGGGCAACCCCACGAGGGCTCTAGCTATTCTTCCAGGAAGGATTGTCAGATGGCCCTGAAGCAAGTGGACTACGCCCGCCTCAAACTCAGTGATGTGGCCCGCACCTGTGAGCAGATGCTGGAAAACTAGACAAAGCAGGTGAAGCAAAGCTTGGAGGGAGACCACCACCGACATCCAGGGCAGAACCTGGAACACTGGCAGGGATGGGGAGCAATACGTGCCCGCTGGTTCGGCTGTACGAGGACAAAGGGGGAAACGGGGAGCAAACCTGGCCACCACCACTGCACGCAGGCTCCTCCATCTGAGAGCTCCAGCACTGCATTCCACAGAACTGCCACCAGCAAGCTCAGACGGCAGATGGAGATCCAGACACCCAGCCTCTTCCTGCCCTTCTCCTAGGCTTCCCACACACTTGGCCCAGTGCAGTCACACTCTTCTTGGTTGGGAAAAACAAGAACTGAGGGTTTAATAATAAAAGCGATAAAAAAACTAAAAAAAAAAAAAAGTCCCACGGAGTGAGGTCTGGTGAGTCAGTGGTATGGGGCAAGAGAGGAATGCTGTTTTTTGCCTGAAGAGGGTGCACTGAGATGACTGTGTAAGCAGATGCATTGTCGTGGCGGCAAACTAGTGTCCCGTCTGCCACAAATCAGGCTTTTTTTGTTGTTGCAAAGTTACGCAATCTTTTCAGAACCTCTAAATAGAAAAGTTGATTGACAAGTCTGACCAGGTGGAACAAACTCCAAAGGCATTCTCCCCCTCACAAGACAAAAACAAAACCCAAACGAATATCGTGTTTTTGGCAGGCACTTCATCTATAGTGATATAATCTATATCTATACCTCAGTGGAATGGTTCCCACAATTGTAGAAGCTGGTAAATGCCAAGTTTATGGATCAGGTGCCAGACTGGAGATGTTTTCTGACTCAAGTAGTCCTGGGGCTATTGAACTGAAGATGAGTAGATTGGAGGGTAGACTACTGACTGAAGTGGCAAATGAATCAAAGGTCCACAGATAAGATGTCAGGCTACTGTATCAAGACCGAAGAAATGGTGGTCAGATGGGGAGCCATACATAGAAGCCGACTCTAGTAAAAAGTAAGCAAGTATTGCCATAGTAGCTATAGGAATCAGATGACGCCTTTGATGAAACTCCTTTTCAATCGATTAGCTGCTCATAGCTGATCTCACCATGTATGTGTTACATTTTATCAGATCTCATCGTGATGGGTGCCGACATTATACTGCCAATCTAGCCCAGTTGTTAAACAATCTTAGCTATTGTGGGGAGACTCACTTTTTTTTTTACTATCCCCCTTTTTTGGTATTGTTTGAATTTTATGTCATGGGTACAGAGTACCTATTAAAGCACAAAGTTAATGCAAAACGCATACAAAAAATAATAAATGTATGGAAAGGTACCTCAGAGTGCCTTCACTAATTCTTCTCTTCCTTGTATTAGGAACAAAACTAAGTAGGCCAACACAGTTCTGTCCCTCACAAGAGAGACCAGTTCAAGCCCAGATACCTTTGCCAGGAATCTATCACCCCTCCGGCAATATATTGTCATAATTATAAAGCCACCTCTAACTCTGAATTTTCTTTGTGCTAAAAAGGGAAGGTCTCTTTTTAAGTTGTTGTTTGGGGACCAAAGTCCAGGATGAGCATTCTTAGTTTCAAGTGCTATTCTCTGTACGCTGAAACCAACTCATTCTATTTTGGAATGCTTTGTAACTGTAAATCCCTTTTAGTCCCAATTTCTCTCTTATAAAGACAGGAGCTGTCTCTCTCTCCCCGCCCACATGGCACAGCTGCTTATGAGGCTTGTAATTAATGAGGATGTGGCTAACAGTTGCACACCCAATGACGTTGCAGGCTTATTGAAAGAAGTTGGGCGGGCAGCAGCTCCTGGGCTGGGCCTCTAACTGTGCTCTTAACCGCGGGACTTGATTGGCTATTGTCCTTTTCAGTAAGATAATTTCTGACAGTTCTATCCATAGAATTCAGGTTAAATTACTTTGGGACTTATGAAATGAAGAGGAATCCCCTGCACAGAAAACACTTCTTCTGTTGGTCTCATTTAAAGATTCGTAACACTATATCCACTATAAATCTTCAGAAATGCCCAGGCCAATTTTTAAGGCTTGTTGATTTCTATTTCCAATGACTTACACAATATGACAACTTCTGCTGCAAACCATACCGATTGTTTTGAAGCTGTGAGCTTGATGTAAAACTCGGGGTGGAAACTCAGATGCCTGTGGGGGCCTACGTGGGCACATAAGAAAAGCAACTCTGTATTAGAACTCAGTGGAGAGCGGCAGCATCAGGGAATGCTCTGCCCCAGTCAACTGGGGCCGCGTGAGAATTCTCACTTCGTATTAACACTCCTTCAATTTTTCAAGAGAAACCAGATATCTGGATTCTTATGTGACATCTTCCAGTCTGTAAATGTTGACAACTAATTAAAGTTCTTTAAAAAAAAAGGACACGGTAGCCCATCTCATCTCAGACCAAAGCAAACATCCACAAGATCTCCAAGCCCAGGCAACAAGCAGTTTACGAGTTCTTGTTCAGAGGACTCAGTGGTTCTGGACATGGCTTTGGGCTGATTCTTCACAGTGATGTAACAGCTGGTTGCAAATGAAGTAAATCTTCTCAATTACAAGTCATTTCGATTTTCTGTTTTTCTAACATATCATGCTGATGTATAAATCCTGGATTGCTTAGGACAGCTCTGGTGTAGGCATAAATCAGTTATAATTATTAATATGATTTTTTGGGGTTATTGCGATAGTTAAGGTTTATTGTGCTAACCTGGCCAATGAACACATGTGGGATTAATTGAAGGGCGGAGAGATAAATGGCTCAGCAAATTTCGCCTTTCTTGTCTCTTGCTCTCTGATGGCCGGACCAGTGAGCAGCTGCCTCAGCTTGTTCTCTGCCTCAGCTGGCAAGCCTTACTTCCTGTGAGACATCCCTGAGGAGAAGCCACATGGACCTGCCCTGATGCAACCTTGGGTGCTGGGGAAGCTGCGGGGAGACCCCTGCCAGCGCTGACATGCTTACAACACCACTGGATCCAAAGACTTTCTCCCCACTGGCCTGTGATCGTCCTGCATTCGGTGTCATTGTGTGTGTTTTGTGAGTTTGAGGAGGACTTTGTAGACTGGTCTTGGATATATGGGCTGATGTCAGACTTCAGGGCTTGGACTGGACTGGGTTGGGATGCTTTCTTAATGTACACTTACCCTTTAGATAAAACTCTCTTATAAAATATGAGTGTCTATGAATTTTATTTCTCTAGTCTACCCAGACTAACACAGTTATCATTTTTTTATTGAAATAATTATTAAAATTTCTTCAGGTTAGATAATAAACACTCCCCCCCACCAGTAGAAACTCAGCACTATTGATTTGATTTTGACCTAGAGTGACCCTGTAGGGCAGGGTAGAACAGCTCCTGTGGGTTTCTTTATGGGAGTAGAGAGCCTCACACTTCTCCTGAATCAGTGATAAGGATTCTTTAATGAAATATCTCTTTTGACCCCATCCCTTTATTTTTTACTTATTTTAAAATTTGTTCTTAAAAAAAAAATAGCCACCACAGGGTAGTTTAGATGCATCAATACTGGACTGTGACTTGGGCTGGACTTAAGAGTGTGTGTGTGTGTGTGTGTGTGTGTGTGTGTGTGTGCGCGCGCGCGCATTACTGTTGGTTGGGATCAATGTTTTGATAAACCACCCATGAAGGGAATGGTAAAGCTTCATCTCAAGGTCTTTGGAAAAGGAATATTATATTAAGGTGAATTTTTTAGGGCAACAAAAAGGGCGACACTCATATATGAATACGAAAGAACTTTATATCAAGAAAAGCACTTTCATGAAGGAAGCAGCCCAGCCCAGTCTTACTCAAGTTCATGTGTCAGTATCTGCTGGCATCACCCAACTCAGGTAGCTGCTGAAGCAGGTGGAGAAACAGGGAGCAGGGGGACCGCAGGCTTGTGAGTGCAACCTTGCATGGTTCCAAGGTCGGCAGGAACACCCCAGTTCAGCAGGGAACATGGGGTGCCAACCGCAGAACCAGAGGCCAAATCCCTGCAAACAGGAAGGAAGTGGAAGAGGGGCAAGCAAGAGAGGCTTGTTTTTCTTCAAGATCTCTTGACACAAAAAGATCACACCGGTTAAGGAGGGTCATGAGGTTCTGACATGATTGATGGGCTGGACTCCATCCGCACCATCACCCAGGGCCAAAAACTCACTGTTAGCGAGTCAATGCCGACTGATACCGACCCGCTGTGGGCTTCTGAGGCTGTAACCGTTGACAAGAGTAGAAAGCCCAGACTTTCTAGGGGGGCATACATCCTAACCCTCACACCTAACAAGCTTAGTAATTAATGTCCAGGGGGAGCATGAAAGAGGAAGAGCCTTAACGACATGGGGTTGGCGACAGTGCCTGTAACAATTGGCTCAGGAACAGGAACGCTTGTGAGGGGAGGGCAACATTTCATTCGATTGTTCGAGTCCCCGTGAGTCTGATCGACTGAAGAACACTGACCACCGCCGCTCCCTCCAGTGGAGCTGTGGCCTCCAGCTGCGGCAGCCGCCATTCCCTCCTCCTGACCCGGAAGTCCACCCACCCCTGTCCACTCCCCTGAATGCAGACTTCTCTAGGCACCAGTCTCATGCTTGAAAGTGAAATTTTGACCCACTCGGGTTCAAATTCTTCTGGCTCTTTCCTAACACCTGACTTCTTCATTTTCACCTTGTCCTCTTCCCCGATTGTTAAAAATGTCCTTTTCTCCCTGAGGACGGCTACACGGACTCTTCATGAGCATTTCTGCCATACTTTGAATGAGTATCTCTTGCTACTTAAGGGAATATCGAACAATTTTGAAAATGGTAACATATTATTTTGAATTTTTTTCATCTCATTCCTTCAATTGTATCCACCTTTTCCATTTTTAAGAATTTGGTTGAGATGAACTTGTTTGTCACTAACGACCCCAAGTCCGTTTCAATTTTCCTTCTCCTTTTTTTTTTTAAAGTCACGCAAACCATGATTTAGGTTTGAGGGATAAGGAATGTGGAGTTAAAAAAATTTTTTTAAGAAACATACTATATGTATATTT